CGGGCATTACTGTTAAAGTACATCCAGACACACTGCATGTGTGGAATTCTTGCAGATTTGTAAACAGTACTGTTCTGAGCATCACAACGCAATCTCAAGATGTTCCCCAGAGTGGCAGACTATCACAAGAAAGCACTGGTGCATTCCAAGCAGTGGAAACATCTATAGCTGATAGGAGTGTTTGAACGGGTGTGTAAGAAACTGAACGAGCCTGACAGGTCTCCTGTGCTTATATACAAACTCTTATGTTTCAAGTGTTGTTTGCACAGCAAAATTAATAGCATTAACATACACTACAAACACTTACGTCCTGTTTTGTATCTCTCAGTAACTGACTCAGCGTTTCAACATGCTTGTTGCAAAACCCAAACAGATACATTTAGTTCATTTCGAAGATTTCCATGTTCTGTTTATGCTTTATGACACATCATAGCCTGAACGTTATGTGCTTTTCCTAATAACTGCAAAAAAACATGGCTTAATACTCATAATTAACAGAAAAACACGTGGATACTGAACTTAAGTCACATTATTTGATAGATTTAACATGGTTTAGTGTGTAATGCAAAATATTTCAAATTAAATTAATAAAAACATTCATTTGAATGCCAGCATGCAGCCTATCGGTTTTTAGAAGATTAAATCAACTGACCATTTCTGACTTGAGGTTGATTTGATGCAGGTAAAACAGAAGCAATTTTTCTCTCTTGATCTACAGACCAGTATCAAAAACAAGGCTACTAGATGAGACTTACCCCACAGTATTTGTCTCCATTAAAGACCTGAGGGGGCATCGCTGAGGGGTTTCCCACTTTCTTCCTCATCTCCTCCTTCAAGTCACCGCTTCCTGCGATGTCCACAGCAAAGTACTTGATCTTCTTGGCATCCAGAAACTGCAGAATCTCAGACTGATGTTGCTTCACCTGAAGAAACAGAGATGGAAAATAATAAACCTTTGATAACTCACAATGAACTCTGGTTTCTCTTCCTTTTTTAAGACATGCGACAAGAACAACTAGTTATTTACTTCAGATTTCTTGTAATAACAATGTTTTTCATCATCTACAGTAGGATTTTTTAAATCCTTCTGCAGACACAAACACAAACCTCTGTGGAGTTAACTTCACTAATCTAATTTGACATAAGACGACTGTATAGCATGTAAACACAAAAAATAGGTACTCTTCAAAATATCAGTTTATATCATATAGTTTCAAAAAGCAAGTAGGCCTATCAACGGCTAGACACATCCTGAGCAGTCAGAAATACAGATACACACCTCTCTAGAGCCACTCACACTGCTGTAATACACCGTGATGGACATCTTCTGAAAGTGCTAAAAGGTTTGTTGGGAATAAAAGTGGCTGGAGGAGCAGACTGGTATTTCAGTAAGCTGTTTGAACCTTTAAAACAAAAGTAATCTCAGCCAACTCAAGGACCAGGAAAGCAAGTTTTGACAGTACACCTAACAGCCCCACCTACCACAAGCACAGACTCTCTCTCTCTCTCACACACACACACACATCAAGACATCAGTGTGGCATGCCTAAACTTGCATGGGGGGGGGTCATCTCACTGACACTAACGTTAGCTGGTTAAAAAGTAAATATGGTTCATAAAATTCAGATTTTAAGAAAAGCTGTAATATAATTTGTTCTCAGATAATTTCAAATTTTGTTATTCAATCCATTTAAAAATCATAATTTTAAGTGTGAATGTCCACATACGTTTCGGCGGCAATGGCTATCTAGTACTACTGACTGACTGAGGCAAAAAATAATGTACGGAGTGGACAGCACCACCTAGTGGTGGATTGAGATGTTTGCGCCATCGTCGTGGATTAGGCAGAAATATAAAACGGAAGTCTTAAAATGTTGTTGTTGAGCAATATATTTTCTAAATAATAATAAAAATCAATAACAATAACGCACAATAAGTAACCGAAGGTCACACAAAAAAAGAGTTCCGCGTGGCTGTCCATGCAGGCAGTGAAATGGACACCATCGGGGCCTTTTGCGTTTAAAACAATGTTGTCGACGCTATGACGTCCTCTTTACTCGCAGTCAGAGGGAAGGTAGGGCGAGTTTCTGTAATCTCTGACAGAATCGGTCTTAAATATCCAGCATCCTACGTTTAAAGTACTCAAAGTTGTATCCTAAGGAATGGATATTAATATATCGATTATATTATGCCTTTATTTCAGAAATTTATCCTCTCATCCATCGCTAATCTACAATGGCCGAGGAAGGGTGAGCGATTGTGTTCTCACTATGCGAGTTACGGATGGTGCATCCACACTTATGCTTGCTGTTGCTGCACAATCTAGATTTAATGGGGAATGTGCACTGAATGGCTTTATGTAGCGGTTAAAATTTGTTTTACTCACCCTAAAGGTTAGGAACCATATGACTAATTTCTCCCCATAGATTAATAAGAACGGCGTGTCTGAGCTCCGTTTTCAACACAGTGAAATTAAACGGTGACCAAAAGCTGTCAATCAAAGGGGCGCAAAACTAATAGTAGCCCACTTGATTCTTATTTAATTATTAACTTTAAACGTGTTTTGAAGCTATATGATAGTTTTGTGCGGAATACCTTGATAGTATTCACTTTCAATGTACCAGAAAGAGAATATATTGGACATTCTTCTATATCTATGAACGTCTATCTACACGTACATTTATACTCGTGTGCCACAAAATGAAGCCATACAGGGTTTGAATATTATAATTTAGAGGTTAATATATATATATATAACCTCTAAATTAACTTAATGTCTGTCCTTGAAAGTGTATGACATGTTAAAGCATTTAAGTTTTATATTGGATGGTGATTTCTTCTGGTGACCTCGGCTATGATGAACTTTGAATCTTTAGTCGGATACCCCTTCACTCTAATCATGAGTGAGACATCAGTCTGAGAAGCCGCAGGTTGTTAAATGCATGTGAGCACACCTGACTCTTTACACCCCAATAACATCCTTTCGTACAATTAATAGCATTTCTGCTGGAGGTGTGATGGATGTCAACACCGCTCTGCCTGAAGTGCTGAAGACCGCACTCATCCATGACGGTCTGGCCCGCGGTATCCGTGAGGCCGCCAAGGCCCTCGACAAGTAAGTGACTACTTTAATATACTGGAAGATGTTGCTGTGTGTCTATGATGATAATTTGGCTCCCTCTACTGAAGTCTCTTGAGGATAACTGCCATTCGTTACCCAATTTCTGTCTGAGATACTGTTGAAGCGATCGGTCATACCTGTTGGAGGAGATTGAAGTCATTGATGGTCATTCTTTGTTTGACAGGCGCCAGGCTCATCTTTGCGTCCTGGCAGCAAACTGTGATGAGCCCATGTATGTCAAGCTGGTGGAGGCTCTCTGTGCCGAGCATCAGATCAACCTCATCAAGGTGACGAGAGGCTATGAGAATAACATTTAATACAACATTTATCAGGATTTATGAAAGCTTTATTTCAGCCATAAAATAAAGAAAAACTGCCCAAGTTCTGACTTATCTCACAATTGATAAGTTGTAATTACCTTTTATTTTTCAGGCCGAAATAAGCTTCCATAGGATTTAAACTGTAGCCCATATCATTAAAATTCCTTATTATAAGTGATTTATCCAAAAAACAATTTAGCTATTACCTGCAATTGGAATTGAGGGTTTGTTTCCTGGCCCAGTGAGACACATGGCACTGCATATTTTGTATATTTTCTTTAATGCACCGGATTCTGATAATCTCATTAGGAGAGCCATTTGCAAACTGAATTGGGTGTTTTAGAAACGAGGGACATATGAAATATGCAGTGCTCTGGGTCTCCAGTAGCAGGATTTAAAAACCCCTGTCCTGGTTGATGATAAAATGGCATTGATGGTGGTAACCAGGCCGTATCTAGAGACCTGGTGGTGGGCTTTTGATTCTGACCACGCAGAACATCTTAACAACTGCTGCAATTAGCTAAAGACTACTCTTGTGGCTGGCAACACTCATGTTTGCTTCAGAAAATGTTGGAAGTACTTCCTTTTTATTAGCCATTAAATTCTATGAAAGCCAAAAATGCAAAGTGTTCTCTTGAATATTGCCAAGAACTTATTTGGGACTTATAAGCCTGATTTGAACTAAAACACCCAAATCGCTGCTTAAAAGTGTAGAGTCATAAAATTATAACTGTCTCTGTGCTCTCTTGTAGGTTGATGACAATAAGAAGCTTGGTGAGTGGGTTGGTTTGTGCAAGATCGACAGAGAGGGCAAACCCCGCAAGGTGGTGGGCTGCAGCTGTGTAGTCATTAAGGTGGGTGTCTGACTGTAGTCCTGTTCACACTCAAGAGTCTTTTTAATTTACTTTAAGATTTTACAACTAGTGATGTTTTAACAAATTTCGGGAGGAGCACATGCAGATAATCAATGCGGCCAATTCACTATCAGTAATCACATCATCTATCCAACCACCACGAGAGAGAACCACTATAAATAATCATAGCAGCCTTACCTTCATTCTCTATCTAGTCTTTCAGCATCCCTCCACCACCCCGACTCCTCACCGTCTACCCATTCCAGAGAGCGCTCTGTGTTCGGGCAGATGCTGAGCTCTGAGCCCTCTCCTGGATGGGGGGGGTCCCCCGGGTTCGGGAAGAATTACCGAGTTCGGAGCCCTCTCCTCGGACAGCACGCCAAATACGCATACTATTCTTCTCGCTTTATTATCTGCAAGGCGAACTCGTTTAGTGTTTATTAAAAGAATATTAGGGCTTCCGATTTGAGCCAAGTCGAGTCCAGATGCTGGCTCTCCGTGCCCTGTGTCTGGTTTTGAAGTCTTGGCTAGATTGAGCGCCTGGACACGAGCCTCTTGGTCCTGTTTTGATTCTTGAGGTCCCTAGAAGGGCAACAAGCTAAATTTACTGAATAGTGGGATGATATTTTGTTTCCTGTTGTAATTATAGTAAGTTGAGTCATGTCAGTTTTAAAACTGAATAAATGTTAAAGATGTAACATGCATCTAATGTTTTCATGTCTCCATCTGCAGGACTATGGCAAAGAGTCCCAGGCTAAGGACGTCATTGAGGAGTACTTCAAATCTAAGAAATAAGGCGCCAAATAAAAGATCTTTTGGAAATATTACTTGTTGCGTTTTTTTGTTTTTTAACTATGGAAGTTGTAGCAATTCATGCAAGTTCTGAATTGAATAAAGTTCTCTGGCACCGTGCCGGATCTCCGGCGTGCTGCGGAAAAAGATAGTCCTACATTTAAAAAAACAAAACAACAACAAAAAAATCTTGTTGATTGACATCACTTTCGAGTCCATGAGTTCATCTACCAATGGTATGAGAGGAGCACAGCTTTCACTCTCAACCAAACTAACATTACTAGCCAATCAGAATGTTTTGCTCTTATAAACACGAGACACGCATAATAGTATCCAGTTGCGGAGTCGTAGCCCTGATGAATGGAGAAGCGCGACAAAAAGCTGCGAGGCGCAATGTTCGATGATGTCCATCTAGCGCATATTTACATAGAATAACTAATTAAAAAGCAGCGGCACTTTGTAAACGGCTCAGTAATCATGTCATCTCCATAAAAAGATATGATTGCCAGAACAAATTTACCAGGGTTTTTGAAAAGGTTCTGTTAACACATGATCTATTAAAGGGATAGTTCACCCAAAAATGAAAATTTGATGTTTATCTGCTTACCCCCAGGGCATCCAAGATGTAGGTGACTTTGTTTCTTCAGTAGAACACCTATGATGAGTTGTAAGTCCAACCATTTATCTGCTTACCCCCAGGGCATCCAAGATGTAGGTGACTTTGTTTCTTCAGTAGAACACCTATGATGATTTGTAAGTCCAACCATTGCAGTCTCAGTCGTATAATGCATGGCAATGGTAACAAAGTCTATGAGAGTAAAAAAAACATGCACAGAAAAATCCAAATTAAACTCTGTGTCTCGTGACGACACATTGATGTCCTAAGACACGAAACGATCAGTTTGTGCCAGAAACCGAACAGTATTTACCTCTAATACAGCACTATGTCCAACTGTCTTTGGGAGCGCGCACAGCATCCGGTTCAATACAATCATGTAATTTCTTGGTTTTGATACTTTTATTTGAGCCAATTATTATTGCCTCATCATTAGGGATGTAACGATTAACCGTGAGCTGGTTGAAAAGCGATTTAAATATGTGACTATTCAAATCTGTTGAGATGCTAAACAAATTGCGATTCAGTTAGGGGTAGGAGTTTATATGAATGTATGTCTGAGGGGAACTTACTGTCTTTCGATGGTATTTTTTCTTTTCCTCTTGCCTCTGTATAATGCATATTAAAGTTAATAAGTGCAGCGCTGCTTTGTTTAAAGTGGAAACCAAGGAGATGCTTTAAGCGCCACCTGCTGGCAGAGAGTGAATCTGTGTCTCATTCAGCTCTGCTGTTTCTGTTTCATGCAGATATTTTGGGGGCGTGTTCGAA